CATGAAATTTGTGCCAAATGCAGAGAATTGTGTGTTGCGTTTTGAAAATAAAGTGTGTTTTAAACCTGCAATTTGGGTGTAAAGCAGGAATTGTGCTTGTAGTTAAGCTGCATTGGTTCAGGGGTTGGTGCATCAGTCACATGTTGTAGTCATTGTGTCTGAAGTACAAGTAATTGTGTGTAAACAAAACTGTGAGTGAGTCAATGTTCATTTACAGTTTTTTTTTTTTTTTTTTTGATTGCTCAAGCACAATTTTGAAATGAAGGCTCATTTTGTCAAAACACTTCACACAATTTCCACATCCACACACACAAACAGCAGAACACATCAGAACTTTTGCAAAATGAAACACTTCATCCAAAACTTTACAACACTATAACAAAACACAATTTTAACACCGTACAGAACACACACGCCTCATTCAAGATGAATCTGTTTGCTTCATTTACACACTGCTGATCTCAATCTTAAACACTCGTATAATTTCTACCTGACTAATACTTATATAATCTGGGTTTGATTTGTTTCAGAGATATTGCTATAAAGTACATGAACATACTGTATTCACCAAACAGTGATAGACTGAAAGTTAAATATTGCCCTATCCTAATAAAAACCATACAACAAATGTAAAGTGTTTTATTCAGCTTTCTGGTGATGTGTACATTTCAATATATAAAAAAATCCCATGCCCTGTCTCCTGTTTACCAATCTTCCTCCCTTCCGTACTTCCTCTTCCATACTGCAACATTGCCGTCCATATTTATTGAAGATTATTTATTTATAACTCCTGTTAAACATATTTATTGAAGACTTATATTTACAACTATACTACTGTTAACAAATGTATTGTAGATCAATATAATAGCCTAGTTTATACCTAATACCCAGTTACAGTTTTTCATGATTGCTAACACACTAAAATTAAACTTTTCCTACAACTAGCAAAACCGTACAATCATGGAGCAAAACACAAGGCTAGATCTGCACAACTGTAGGCACATGGCTTCATACTGTTTGCAAAACATTACACACAGTCATTTGCAAATCACTAAACACACTTGGATGCTTTTGACACAGACATTTTTCATAATGGAATTTCCTTGCAATTTCAAAGCAAAGGCCTTCAAATGAGCACACACATGAACTATAGGTCAAACACAGCCATCAGGTGTGCACACAAACTGCTGCAAACTGTAGACACACACACCAATCAGCTGTAACCACAATAAAAGAAGAAATATAGGAATAACCATATATGGCATACCAAAATGTTTAAATCATTTGTATAAATATTTACCATTTGGAATAAAAAACTATAAATAAGAAAGGTAAAAAGCACTCAATTGCAAATGAAACATAACTGTGGATAAGTGAAAACACTGATAGAGAATGAATAGGTATAATAATGCAGAAATAAGAGCAATGTGCTGCAAACCCTTGAAGCAGACGTGACGCAGACGTCACGTTAAAGCAGCGGAACAGTAATGTGGCAGACGCAGACGACACGTTCGGCAGACGCAGACGTCACGTTCGGCAGACGCAGACGTCACGTTCGGCAGACGCAGACGTCACGTTCAGTGAGACGAGTGCACGTTGCAGCGTCAAGTTATTGACCCATTCCGCACGCCATACAAATCTAGTTACGCTAATGCGTGGTTTCGTCGCCACTCCTCCGTCTGGTTATGTTTCGTGTCCGTTGAGTTGCGTCCTGTCATACCGTCTCGTTCCTCCTCTCCACGTGCCTGCTCACAGGATTGGCCATGCCACTCACTCCCCTACGTCACTCGTGCGTTGGGAGGGATTAGACGGAACCCCTCTGCTGCTATTGGCTCAGCGACCTATCAATCACGCGAGTAAGGGGGACCCGTGTGGATGGGCGGGGCTTGAGGCAGGTGGAGTTGTCAGTCGGCAGTTTTGAAGTGCGGTGCTGGAGGAGGCTGAAGGCTGGAGACAATCTGAAAAAAGTACAAGCAAAGGTGATGTGTTTCTGTCACGCTGGGTGGTCTTCATCCTTGTCAGCGAGATGACGGGAGGCACAGACTGCCCCTGGACAGGTAGTTAGGAGAGTGTGTGTGTGCTCCCTTGGACGGAGAAGACTCAAACATTTGTGCTGTACATCAATAAGGTAGGCAACGCTGATGTGGTACTTATTTTTTAAAGGGATAGTTCACCTAAAACGTCTGTCATCGTTTACTCATCTTTCAAATTTGACTTTCTTTTTTTTATTCTGGAAACCTGTAACCATTTACTTCCATAGTATTGACTTTAATGGTAACAGGCTATCAGCATTCTTCAAAATATATTATTTTGTGTTCAACAGAACTCATATAAAGGTTTAAAACCACACGTGAATGGTGAGTTACTCTTCATTTTAGGGTGAACTATCTCTTTAACTACCTTGCAAACAAATGATGTCTTGTGCACTTGTATTTTTTTAACACACAACTCAATGATTATGTGTTTGACTGACATGTTTCATAAGCTTCAGATTTATTTGCACATGAAAATTGTCCGGGCAGGTCGCAATGGCACGTTACTTAGCCGCTGTTATGTAGTTTCAACAGGAGGAAGTGGAGACTGAGCCCGGCTGTTGTTGTAGTAGCCTATTACATAACAGTCCGGGAAAGGGAGGGCTATGAGCTCTCAGTGTGTGTGTGTTAGTTTATGTCTGAATAAATAACCTTCCTTCTGGCAGGATCATTAATGCCACGGAATATTACAAGAACTATTAAAGATATGTTTCAGATGTTTGCTGATTAGACTGCATATTTAGTTCACTGAATAACAGTTCTCCTTTGGAGCTGCTATTACTAATTTATAACTGTTTTAATTATTGCTAGTTTGCTTTTTCAGTTTTTGGATGTGTAATTTAGGCCCATCACAAATATTATTAAGTGTAAAGAACAGCTGACTGTGTTGGTTGTGAAGTTTCACTCTCAGTTCTGATTGATTTTCTATTCAGAGATAGGTCTTGGTGTCAGATGTGCTGGTAACACAATGGCTTGTCTGTAAATTCAATTTCATTTTAGAGTAATGATTCTAGACCTTTAATTAGAAACATTTTATAAAAGCACTAGTAAGTGTCTAAATCCCCATTAACCATGGAAAAAATACAAGGGACTTTAATATTTATTTTAAAACTGGAACAAATAGCATTATGGCAGGAGTATGATTGTTAAATAAATGAAATGCTAAGTTCTTAATGCTTGCAAAACTGTCAGGTCAGTTTTGACCCATGAGAGATAATTTAAGTTGCTTCTTTTTTTTTACCCAGATTTTTACTATATATATTTATTTATTTTAGACATATTATCATAAAAATATTACCTATTAGGTCATGTATTACCAGGGTATAAATGGAACATCTGTAGGTGTTATAAAATACTAAAAATACCTTTATTTTTGTACAGCGATCTATGAAGTTGTGCTAAAAAATAACGTTAGTAGATCATATTTATTTAGCCTTTTTTTCTTGTCTCACACACTGTTTGAACTGATTTTAGTTGATGTTTTACTATTGGCAAAAAGAAAACTACAAAATGTACTTTCCAAATAAAAAAAGAGGAAAAAAGTGGTAAATGTAGTAACGACATGGTTACAAAACATGGTAACATTCAAAGCTTTCACTTTTTTCTTTAACTCTCACTCAATATTGACAATACGATCAAATGATAAATATATGGTCTTATTTTGGGGTGGGACGGTGGCTCAGTGGTTAGCACTGTTCCCACACAGCAAGAAAGTGGCTGGTTTGAGTCCCGGCTGGGCCAGTTGGCATTTCTATGTTGCATTTTCTGAGTTTGCATGTTCTCCCTGTGTTGGCATGGGTTTCAACAGTTCAAAGACATGCGCTATAGGTGAATTGAATAAACTAAATTGTCCGTAGTGTATGTGTATGCATGAGTATGGGTGTTTCCCAGTACTGGGTTGCAACTGGAAGGACATCCGCTATGTAAAACATATGATGGATAAGTTGGCGGTTCATTCCGCTGTGGCGACCCCTCATGATTAAAGGGGATTAAGCCGAACAGAAAACTAATGAATGAATGAATGAATGAATGGTCTTATACTAAAATGTTAAATATTTATAAAAGAATGCATTTTTCACAATTCTTCACAACTTACAAATATTGTGCAAATTTTTTAATGCATTATGACAATTAAAGCAGTTATAGTGGAATGCACAATACTACGTTGATCAACACTACATAAAATGCATTAAGTTAAAATACTTTTCTATAATTAAAACTGAAATCTGTCAGAATCTGAATGAACCTTTAGAATGTGCAGTCACAGTATTCAGGGAATTGTCTGGTGTTCTCCTGTTGGCAAATGCCAGAAATACATACATGCAATATATGATGGCAAAAATATGTGTATCCATTGATGCCCCTCAAATGTATCTGCTTGTCTAATCCAACCAGAAATAAGTTGAAAGTATCAGTTCTGTGAATAAAGTGTCTAACACATAAAATCCCACAAAATATAAGCACACATGAACGTTAATGTGCTGGAAAAAACATTTCACTATGATCACCGTCATATACAGTTGAAGTCAGAATTATTAACCCTCCTCAATTATTCTCCTCCCTGTAATTTCCCCCCCATTTTCCGTTTAACGCACACATTTCTAAACATAATAGTTTTAATAACTAATTTCTAATAACTGATTTCTTTTATTTTCTCCATGATAACAGTAAATAATATTTTACTAGATAATTTTCAAGATACTATTCAGCTTAAAGGGACATTTGAAGGCTTATTAGGTTAACTAGGCAAGTTAGGGTAATTGGGCAAATCATTGTCTAACAGTGGTTTGTTCTGTAGACGATTGAAAAAAATCGATAAGTGGGCTAATATTATTGATCATATACTTTTATTATCATTATCATTATCATTATTATTATTATTATTATTATTATTATTATTCTGCTTCTAATCTAGCTAATATAAAACAAATAAGATTGATTTAAATATTTTAGGAAATACTAAAAAAATTCCTTGCTCCGTTTAACATAATTTGGGAAATATTTAAAAAAAAAAAGAAATGGTGCCGGCTAATAAATGTTCTGTATCACCTGTGAGTTCAGTGTGTGTATAAACTGTACATAATGTAGCTGTTCAATTACATTTCAATTTATCTTTATGACTATAGTTAGGTTTACAAAGTAGATTGTGTAAAAGCAGAATTACATAATGAAAGAAAAATTGAAAAAAACCACAATAATTGTTGTGTAATAATGACTAGTAATTAATTGATGTAAACTTTGACTAGTGACAGAATGTGTGCTTTATAAATTGAATTTGAATATATTTCTCTTGAAATAAGTTCATTCTGAAAGCATCTTACATAACACAATATACCTAGATTGGTGAATAATTACGTTTTAAGCAATTAAGACTTGTAAACTGCACATCGATGGATTTTCTCTTCAGTGTTTGGACCTTCGGCAGTGAAAATTAAACCACACAAAACTGAACTTCAACTGAAAACTGGACTGAAACCATTTCAATGTACTAGAACATCTATGTTAATCTACTTTGACACAATCTACATCGTAAAAGCACTATAGAAATAAAGATGAATTGAATTAATTTAAAATCTGTCCCTTAGGTAGATGTTAAAAGATGATTTTCAAAGTTCACCATTTGTGGCCATTTTGGACATAAACTCATCTTATCAGTGCTACTGATCAAACATGTTTGTATGACCTTGAGAACAAACTCTGCTTAGAAATGGGTAAATAAGTTCTGCTTGAGGCCACTGTCTGCCCAGCTGTATCTCTTTGTCTTCAGGGCCCGGGATGCCCAAGGAACCAAGAGGTGATGCTCAAGGGTGTGTAGGGGAGAGGGAACGCACCTCCCGTCCAGCCAGTAAAAACGCTAAGGACAAAAGCAACAGTGCCGCCCTTTTGGCTTCAAGAGCCAGAGCACACACTGAACAGGAATCAACTGGACGTGGCTCCCGCTGCTCTGAGAAAGACTCTGGTTACTCGGGTGAGTATTGACAGAACTACTGTAACACTCACCTGCTAATTTCCTCTTTCCACCAAGTGCTTACCACAAGTAAAGTCACATTTAAAAAACACTGGTGTGTAACAAAGAGCTATACAAGACCAACATTACGATTAAAGACAAGAAAGAATACAACTACAAACTGTAGGTCAAGACTGTAAACAAATAACCAACATATATATTTATCAAATGTCATGAATGCAAACAAGTCTTTAACAGCAAAATAATTACTAAAATGGAAAGGTCTGATTTAATGTCCTGAGGAAGGTGGTTCCAAAGTCTAAGACCAGTTACTGAAAAGTAAGCTGCCCTTTCTTTTAGCTTCAGAGAGTTTAGGGTGATTGTTCTTGATCTTAGGATCTTGGTTTTTCAAATTCCAAAGACCCAGCTCTGAACCAGGAAAATTGGTTCTTGAATGGCCTGTTTCCACTAAGTGGTACGGTATGGGTCGGTATGCTTTTATGCCTGTTTTCCACTGTCAAAAAGTACCAGAATTACTGTAACACTCACCTCCTAATATCTCCTTTCCACCAAGTGCATCTTTACAAGTAAAGTCACATTACAAAACATTGAAGTATAATAAAGAGCTTTACAAGACCAACATTAAGATTAAAGTCAAGAGGAATATTTTTCGACTGTAGGTCGAGACTTACCAATTAAACAACCAACACGTATATTAATCAAATGTCATGAATAACAAGTCTTTAACTGCAAATTCAAACTAAAATGGAAGGGTCTGATCTAATTTCCTGAGGTAGGCGGTTTCAAAGTCTAAGAACAGTTACTGAAAAAGTAAGCTACCCTGTCTTTCAGCTTCAGGTGTGTGGGGGAATGTACAGAAGTTGTTTATTAGAGGATCTGAGAGTTCAGAGTGATTGTTGATATCTAAGAATCTTGTTTTTTTGACATCCAAAACCCAGCTCTGAACCTGGAAAATTGGTTCTTAAATGGCCTGTTTCTATTGAGTGGTAAGGTAAGGTCGTTACGCTTTTATGCCTGTTTCCACTGTTAAAAAGTACCAAAAAGCAAACCGTATCATACCACTTTTTGGGTACCCTTTGCAAAAAGTAACTAGCACAACAAAAGGGTACTAAAAGGCAGAGCTAGACACACAGCTGAATGCTATTGGTTTACAGAGAAGCTTCACTGGCACGTACACAAGCAGGAGAAGGAAAACAAAGGAAGCGCCATTTTAAATACACAGCCGAGACATTACACCATAATAATATATATACATATAATAATGAGCCATGGTCAACCGGAGCTCAAACAAACCTTGTCGTTGTCTTGATAAATAGCTGACCTGTTGCGACCCCGCATTAATAAAGGGACTAATCTGAAAATAAAATGAATGAATGAATGAATGAAGAACATAACTGTTTTTTTTTTGTTTCATGCAGCAGCAGCCTCCACTCTTCCATGTTGCCAGGTCTAGTCATTTTAAGCGTCGTTGGACTTCTGTTTTAATACTTATACTGACAGCGTAGTTTGTACCTTAATGAAATATAAAAAATTAAGTTTTGGGTTAACGATTTCATATCCTTTTTGTAAAATATATTTAAACAAATTTGGTTATGGGTAATTTTTTTGGGGAATAGGTTTTGTTTGTTTGTTCATAGTAATATTTGTCAACACTGTATCGACGGCACCAACAGATGGCAATCAAAAAAATCTGAATTGATTTGACCATATTTGGTAAGATAAACACAACGACCATCATATTATTTATATGAAACTCTCAAATGAATTACTCTTGATGGATACAGTGGGTAGAACAATAAATTAAAACTCTGGAAAGGATGTTGGCTATTTCAATAAGTTTATTAAACTTACAGTGGAAGTCATTCTTTATGAACATCCATTAAACATTTATGCTAATCATATTGAGGATAAGTTGTCAATCGTCCTTCACATATCAAATCCTATGTAAAATTGTTTCACCAAAAAATGTAAGTATTGCTGAATGAAACAAATCATATATTTTTATTTGTAGCCACTCATTTAGCACAATAAAATAATAAATAATATATATATTTTAAATCCCCTGAGCTCAAAATTTTTAAACCCTGGCAATGGACATGCAAACAAACGAGCTGTTATGAATCTGAAGCATAAAGTATGTTATTATAGTAAATTATGACGAAATAAAGTTAATCAACAAATCAAGATATTGAATTGGTCACACAAGTATGTTGCATTCAGGTCTACGGTACACCTATGACTACTTATTAAGCCTACATAACATTTTTGTAGGGTTTCTTTAGATAGTGCCTTGCTAGTTACAACTAAACAGCAAAGTCGTCAGATCCAAATCAGTGTTGCCACTCTTCATAATTTTCATGCCACCCCATAAATAAATCATTTTCTAGATCTGCCCCTGGCTAGAAGTAAGAAGCACATGCATCAGGGGCAGTGTTAGCATTAATAACACTGATGATGGCATGTTTGGTGCTTCTACATTTGCTTTACTGGGAAAGATAAGATGGTGGTTCTCAGAAGGCTTGACAAAAAAAATCAACTCCGAATTGACAAAAGCACTTGCTCTGAACTAGCACCCGGTTCATGCTAGTGGAAAAGGAGTGAAAGAGACTTAAATCACACTATTATGACAAATAATACAGCAGGCTCAAACCAAGCAGTGTATTAAAAACAATTGTCCCAATGTACCATATATCCAAAAACCACAAAGGAATCCAGGAATTCACCCACCAGGTTTCTGTGAATGTACAAAATTATTTTAGTCCTGTTCAATCCATTATATGTACAGCAATTTGTCAATGAATCAGACTCTCTTGGTAGTCGAATGGTGAACAAAGGTTGGAATAACTCCTGCTGTAATCTCTTTTTAATGAAAATAAATCCAAAGAGCAAGAACAATATTCTGCTGCAGGTATGTTCTGCGGTCAAAGGTGAGAGTAATCCAATAAAAGAGTAGACATCCGCTACCAGTTTTTTACTCGTACTGTCCCTCACCGTAACCTCTCATTTAATGTACTTTATTAGAAGACATATGTTAGAAAAGCGACTACAAATAAGTGATCTCTCACACTTGTGGACCGGCAATAATACAGAAAAAAAAATGTGGGAACCAGACATGTAGAGTCCGTGCGTTCACCTTTTCTGCGTCGTACAAAGACACGTTGGCTGGAATCAAAGATCTCAAATTTGGACTCATCAGACCAAAGCACAGATTTCCACTGGTCTAATGTCCATTCCTTGTGTTCTTTAGCCCAAACAAGTCTCTTCTGCTTGTTGTCTGTCCTTAGCAGTGGTTTCCTAGCAGATATTCTACCATGAAGGCCTGATTCACACAGACACATCTCTAGAACAACTGTTAAGAGGAGACTGAGATGTGTCTGACCTGGTCTCTAATCTGAGCTGCTGTCGCTCTGCGATTTCTGAGGCTGGTGACTCGGATGAACTACATTTTTAAAGTATTGATGGCCACTCGTTTTTCTTTACTTCTTTACTTTACTGCTTTTTTCTTGCCATAATACAAATTCTAACAGTCTATACAATAGGACTATCAGCTGTGTATCCACCTGACTTCTGCACAACATAACTGATGGTTCCAACCCCATTTATAAGACAAAGGAAGCCCACTTTTTAAACCTGAAAGGGCACACCTGTGAAGTAAAAACCGCTTCAGGGGACTACCTCTTAAAGCTCATCAAGAGAATGCCAAGAGTATGTAAAGCAGTAATCAAAGCAAAAGGTGGCTACTTTGAAGAACCTAGAATATGACATATTTTCAGTTGTTTCACACTTTTTTATTATGTATATAATTCCACATGTGTTAATTCATAGTTTTGATGTGAATCTACAATTTTCATAGTCATGAAAATAAAGAAAACTCTTTGAATGAGAAGGTGTGTCCAAACATTTGGTCTGTACTGGAGTTTATATAACCTATCCTTGCTTTGTTTGAAAAAAAGAATAAATCTTAAGTACTTAAATGTTCTGGAAAATATTTTATTTTTCATGGAAGAAAAAGGTAGATGGTTTAGACTTGGGTTTCCTCCAGGTGCTCTGGTTTACCCCACCATCCAAAGACATGCGGTACAGGTGAACTGGGTAGGCTAAATTGTACATAGTGTGTGGGTGTGAATGAGTGTTTGTGGATGTTTCCCAGGGATGGGTTGCGGTTGAAAGGCCATCCGCTGCGTAGAAACGTGCTGGATAGGTTGGCGGTTCATTCCACTATGGCGACCCCAGATTAATAAAGGGACTAAGCTGAAAAGAAAATGAATGAATGAATAGATGCACTGCAGGCACATGCAAACATTAATATGTTGTGGCACCACTCATACTTTCAACACTTTCGCACCTGACAACGGCCCATCGACCATAGGACAAACAGCAGATATGTTTGTGACAATTGGCTGTTTGTCACAAGAAAAGGACTATCTTAGTTTGAGCATGGTTCATTACTTGTTGTATTATTACTTTGTCATGTTTTGACTACATATTTAAAAATGGTGCTTCCTGTGTTGTAGTTCCCTTGTTTTGTTGAACATGCTGGTGATGATTAATCTGTAAACCAATAGTGTTTAGCAGTGAGTCTAGCTCTACCCTTTTGGTACCGCTAGGTACTCTAGAGCTGCGTCTCAAATGGCACACTATCTACTCTGCTCTTATCCACTATGTACTTATTCACTTACACACTCAACAGCATAGTGTATGTAGTGTCGTCCCAAATGAAACACTTTTTTTTACTAAGTGGAAATTTAAATCGTTTCCATGCAAATCATTAACAGCATTTACAATCCGGTGGCAGTATCATAACTCTCGTAGAAGTATTTTGTTTTCACAATCCAAAATAAATAAAGTAATCCAATGTCATTGCCTGAAAGCTCCACCCCTTCCACTACGTGGGCAAAGCAGAGGCCGTTAAGTCCATCTTTCCACACTTCATTTTATTGAATGAATAAGTACATCATCCGGGTATTTAAAGTGCACTTATTTTTTTTTCAGTGAATTTTTCAGTTTTTTTTTAAGTTTTCAGTGTGAATGCACTATTTACACTATTAATACTATAAAATAGCGTAGAATAGTGCATAAGTATGTGATTTGGGTTGCAACTTATAGGTAAAGAGTGGCAAAAATTGGTATGGTCCACTACTCTTGTACATTTGACAGTGAAAACTGAAATAAATGTGTAATGTATTGTAGTAAACCGTACTGATCAGTGGAAACTTTTAAAGACAAAGGTGCTGAGCTGGGTTCAGGTTTGGACTGTGTGAGCCATATCCTACTTAATTTAGCTTGTTCATATTCTTGTTTATATTTAAATATATTTTAACTTGTTGATATTGTTGACAATTTTTTTTAACTGAAAGTGTTTGTACAAGGAGGTTTAATGGATGTATTCTTGTTTTTATGTGCATACTATAATTGTTTGCTATTGAAAGTGCCAGATCTGTTAGTTGTTAACAATGTAGTGGACTATTTTGATGCTAAAGCATGGGAACTCAATTTCTGGAGGGCCGCAGCTCTGCACAGTTTTGCTCCAACCCTAATTAAACACACCTGATCCAAGTTGGGATGACTGACAAGAAACTGACGTTTTGACACAGTGTTGAGATCCCTACGTGCAAGTGTTTCTAAACACTGTGTCGAATCATAATCCGAAACACACAGATCACATGACTAAGGTGATTCGAAACACTCAGGTCACGTGAATTAAGTGTTTTAATACACCAGATCACGTGACTAAAGCGATTCAAAACAATGGTCATTTTAAAAGCGTGTCGAGACTTGGCAAATCTGCGTTGGACTGACAGGGTCTGAGAAAAAAAACTGCCCTATGATGTCAGGCGTTGCCGAATTGCATTGTGGATCCGTCAGCGCCAGTTCAGAGGCGTTGCTCGCTGCAAAAGTTGGGACTAGCTCAACTTTTCAAGCGCCGACAGAAGCGTCAGCCAATTAGATCGCTGTATGCAAATACACCAGCTAGACAGTGGCCTATTGCTGACTGAATTTCATTGGCTGACGCTGCTATTACGATCGTGTTAGCCCCAACTTCAGACACGCCTTCAGTCAAGCGTTGACGCTGAAGTCCCGTGTGAATGAGGCGTTAATGTTTCATGAAGATTTACTTTGCCCACCACCAGATCCAAGTAATCAAGGAGTTCAAAAGAGTCATTAACAGCTTGATTATTTGAATCAGTTGTGTTTGATTAGGGTTAGAGAAAAACTGCAGAGCTGCGGCCTTCCAGGATTTAAGTTTGAGGCTTATGTGCTCAAGTAATATCAATTTCAATGTTGTAAGGCTGCAATCCTTGTTTTCTTTTGTTTCCTTTTGCCTCCTTTTTCTATTCCACCCTATTTACTTGCTCCTCCTACTGCTTTGTTCCTTTCTCAGACACTGGCTCAGATTCCTTGCAGACAGATGCAGATGACCGGCAGAGCAGTGCGAGCGAGCCTCAAAATCACAAGGGATCTCTGCATGGAAGCCACATATTGGTATCTGGGACCCCTGAACTCACCCCTATATTCATTATTAAGGATGTTGTGCTGAAGCAGGTGAGACAATCCAAGTGGTAAGAATAAGAAACTTTGTTCTGAAATGCAATGAGCTGCTGATATATGAACAGTTTTTAGGCATTGTAAGGCTATATTGGATTTTGGTTATCAGTATCGTAGTGACAATTTGGCAACATATGCATCACATGAGCAACACCGTTTTGATGACCAATTGATCTGCTGTTAATGCAAATAATTTCCAGTTGGTTACTTGTGAGATTTCTACAGAGCCCCACACATGACATGCAATAAAAAAGCAAGCATAATTTATTCATTTGTTTCCTTTATTTACTGGAGCATGTGCACAATTGATTAATCTATTCCCTCATTTAATAAATTGTGCACACATTTGATTAATTTGTTAGTAAATTGTGCACACAATCTAGGAATTCATTTACTGATTCTAGGAAAATTGGGCCACAGATAAAATTTGGTTATACTTCCTGTACGAGTATGCATTCTCAAAATTTTTATGTATTGTAAAGTAATGATCAGGGCCGGAGCAAGCTGAACTGCCGCTCTAGGCAAAGGACGGTCGCGCCGCTCTCAACCCTAAAGTGAAGGGAGGGGGGGGGGGGTATAACTGAGAGCGCGGGTGGTGAGGGTAGTGTCGGGGATGCCGCCCTCTCTATTCTGCTGCCCTACACGGGGATATAACTGAGGGCGCGGGTGGTGAGGGTAGTGTCGGGGATGTCTCCCTCTCTATTCTGCCGCCTAGGTCGCCTCTATGGATGTGCCAGCCCTGGTATTGATGATAGCTAAAACTTACAAATCGGCATATCAAGACAGGACCACAAAGGAAGCACACACAAGGAAAAGAAGGTAGATACGATAAATAGACTGAAGATGAATAAAGCACCAACATATGTTACAGGGATGGGCAAGTTCGGTCCTGGAGGGCCGGTGTGCTGCAGAGTTTAGCCCCAACCCTAATCAAACACTCCTGCCTGTAGCTTTCTAGTTATCTTGAAGACACAGATTAGCATGTTCAGGTGTTTATGAATAATGTTGCAGGACTCTGACCCTCCAGGAGCGAAATTGTCCATCACTGACATGTTAGGAGGTAGTGATTATTTTGTGTGCATAATTTACAGCGGGGGGCAAGTTTGCTCATTGAGAACCTAAAAACTTTGCACCAACCCAATTAAGGAATGAGTGTGAAGCTGCGGTCACACTAGAGTTGAGCATGTGAAATTCAGTAGTACGGCGCTGCAAAAAGGGGCGGGATTAAACAACATGATTAGACATTTTAAAAAAGCAAGTGATCGCTCCATGTTTTAAATTTCTGTCCAGAGAGGTGATGTTTTGATCTTTAATTGGTTTCACGCAATAATGTGATGCGATTGTGCAGGTTAGAGTACACCAAGCTAGGACTTTCCAATGCAGTGAACTATGAAACTTGTTGTACAAGCTTGCGTTTCCGGTCGGATGCATTCATGTGCGAATGAATGGAAGTCTATGGGGAAAAAAGTGCAGTGTAATCGCAGCTTTACTTGACAACTACAGTCAAGTGAGTTTTTTTTAAGGCTGGATTAAGGCGCTGCAGAACTGTGGCTCTTCAGGACAGATCTTGCCTACCCTTGACCTAGAACAAGGGTGCCCAAACTGGGTCCTGGAGGGCCAGTGTCTTGCACAGTTTAGTTCCAACTTGCCTTAACACACCTGCCAAGATGTTTCTAGCAAGCTCAGTAGGAGCTTGTTTACCTGGCTCAGGTGTGTCTGATTGGAGTTAAGGCTAATTTATTCTTCTGCGTCAAACAAACGTGTCAAACAAACAGCCTGCGCGTGGTCGCATAGCCCTCGCCATGACCGTTGCCGACATTGACGCGCACCTCTCAAAAAAAATTAACTACATGTCACAACATTGCTCTGTGATTGATCGGCTGAATATCGCTGACGACTGTGGGCAGGACCAAGAGCAGCGTGCACCCGTTGGAGCGAATGTTTACAAGTGTCAAGTGCTGTAAAGGATGTCCAGATTGATACTGTTGTATCCCATCTAAAAATGAGTGAGTTTAAGCTACATTTCCATTTAGGTAGCGTTCATAAAAAACAAAACACCAGTGAAGAAACTCGACACAGAGGAACATAAAAACCTCACTGCCAGCTAGCTTTTCGGAAGTGTTATTGCAGAGCACCGTGGGTCACACCGATCACTCTACGCAGAAGTATATACCAGGATTTAGAGGTAAACTATGCAGGACTCCAGGGCTGAATTTGAGCACCCCTGACCTAAAATGAGGGAACCAACTAGTAAATTATGCACATAATTTACTTAAAACAGAGAACAAATTAATAAATTGTGCCCTTGTTTTTTTCTCTTGCATGTCATGTGTGGGCTGCCATTGGTTTCTAACTATAGCAGTTAAGTCCAAGGTATACTTTATTTGATGTGTTCCTCCATATCTGATGCACACTTTAAAATATCCGCCAATAGACAGTAATTTGATTTCATCTTTTGTATTAAGTAAACAGCAGTGCAGCCCACTGTATTTTGGACCAAAGCTAAAAATCAAATAAGCAATCAGAAAAGTTAAAGAACAAAATGATGCATGGAAATGAAACAAATGGTAAGAGGTATACGATGGTTTTGTACAAGAAGGTATTTTGTTTTTCCCTCCCTTTTTTCCTTAAGCCTGGGCAGTCTGGTCAGGACCACATCCTTCCTTCATCTCTGTCGTGGGGTGGAGGTACTGCAGGCGGTCAAGCTCCCACCCATGTCCTTTTGCTGCAACAGCCTGGCATCAATCAGAGCACCCCGTTGCACATCCTCAAATCCCACCCACAGAGATCTGAAAGCAAGAATGCAAAGAAGAGCAAAAACACTTACCTCCCTATCCTAAACTCCTACCCTCGAATTGCGCCTCACCCTAGTAAGAAAGCCACAGAAAAACCTACAACAAATCGGGGAAGTAACACAGAGGAGCACAGCCTGAGTAAGCGAGTATGCACAGAGGAGAAAAGAGAGAAGGTTTCCACAACCACGCAAGCGTCCAAGCAACACCCGCACAAACAACCAGAGAACAACTTGCTTTCGAACTCTCATTCCCTCTCACGGTCACTTTCTGCAGGCCATGAGACTTCTACTGATACTCACAAGAACCGGAGTCCATGCCGGCCATCTAGTCCCTCTGCCTCCCTCAGCGTGAGCTCACCGTCGG